AAAATTTATCGATTATATATGCGCATAATAAAGGTGTAATTTAATCGTAAGCCTTTAAATGTAAAATGTGCTTCTCTTGTAAAGTAGAATTTTTTCTACAAATATTTAGAAAACGTGTCGTAGAAAAGAACCTTCTCGAATGCCATTAAAGCTTTTTTACACACATAAAATTGTGCAAACAAAATGACGATCGTGTTCTTCGGTACATACATATTCGATTTTACGATTTAGATTTTTATTATAGATATTCAATGTATTAGCGCATAATCTCGTCGCTAAATTATTTGCTCTTCATTGAATATCAATTTTATGTTGATATGAACTGTCGTCAAGTCCGAAGTCTGTAGAATAATTCCACTCGAAATTTTTTCTATCGTGTCATTAGCAAGTTATCGTTAAATTACAAATAATACATCGTATTCACGGCAATGACGTATGTTCTACACATTATGTATATTCGTAGTTAAGACGACAAAGAAATGATCAGGAAATGAGATATATGTATACTTTCGTGGACGTAGAGAACGTCATATCCTTTATGTTTGACGTAACCCACTTGTTCTTTATCCTCTATTTTTTCTTCTCTCATTTTCATCATTTAATAATATATTAGTATGCGCTTTTTTTATTCGTCTCTCTTTCTCTCTCTCTCTCTCTAACATCGCACTAACATCCCTAACATTATTGCTATTAAACATTCAAATATTCGACATGTATGACGTAACTTCTAAACGATTATTTTATTCACTTGTAAAAAAAAAAAAAAAAAAAAAAAAATTAAAGTCGCCAGGAAAACAAAGACTTCCATTGAAGACGATGATAAAAACGATTCATCGTTAAGATTGCACATATGTCAATTGACGTCAGAACCGACACGAGTTGTATTTTTTTACGTTCGTTCGGAGAAAAGAAACTTTTGCCCTTGAAGTGGAGAATCAATCGGATCGCGTATAGTTTCTTACATTACTTTCGATAACCGATCAAAGGTAGCGATGAGAGAGGGAGACGGCAAGATACCAGAATAATGGAGGATCAGTCCCACCATTATCATATAATACGCGTTCCCATTGCGAGGTCAGAGTGTAAAAGAGTTTTGCATGACAAATGCGCGCGAATATTCATCAGCAGCCACATCGCCGGTCTTTACCTTCATAACGGACGTTCGCGAAGTTCTGTCTCTCTGTCGGCATCGGTCAAGCTAGTTCGGTGGACTCGTCAGAAAATATAAAGTGGGCTTGTATAGATTATAGACGACTTGGCGCTCGATTATCTCGAAATACGAGATGTCAATACGGACATATCGCACCGAGCTACACAGGATGTTGTATTGTAAACGGTATGTATAAAAGCCATCGAATAGCTGATTATCGCGACGCGATTGCTTCAACGACATTCCCTATGTACACCATCTCTTTCTTCCGCTTCGTCGTCTTCGATCCCGACCCCGTGTGTTTGTTAGTTATGCAATGCTCGTTGCGAAACCACTCTCAACTTCGTTCCCTAACAATTTCCTCGTAAATACATATAATGAGATAGGCCAATGTATATTACGTTATATAGAATTTTGTGATGAAGGTGCGCGTTTCGTAAAAACGATTATTTTGATTAAGACGAGCGATTAGAAATATAGAAATTTCGATCTCTTGTAACGCGCGTATCTTAGGGGGAAATTGTGTGAAGCACTACATACTTCGAGACCCCCGAGGCTGCGGTTAGAGCGTTTACGATTTCAGCCGCGGAATTTAGCGCCTTCGACGCCTTGGCCGATGGCTTACTTCGAGCATGTTCCTCTCATTTCCCTAAAGAAAGAGACGCCGCATAAAAAAGAACAGGTATCTCGGAACGGTATCTCGAGTCTCGAATCTAGAATCTTCTCGAAAAAGTGGCACAGACTTCTTCGCGCATTCCTCGGAACTTGCTATACGTAATTGAGTCTTTAAGTAAATGATTCTTATGTTGGAATAATCTCTTTGAATTTATGCAATGTTTTTGAAATTAAATTGTAGTTGGCTTGTACATAATTATAATTGATAATGCGCATTTCCGAGAAAATCTTGTACCGTCACTTTCTCTACAGAGACGATGATTCAAAGATAGTTTCTGTTTCACAGAAATTAAGAATCGATTTCAATTTAAAAAAGGAAAATTAAAAAAACGATTTAATTGGTAAAATAATTTATAATTGATTAGAAATATTTAATCTTTTCAAGACCATAAATTCTTGTACAAATTATAATAAAGTTATAAGGTAATACATTTTTTGAATAAATGCGAGAAAAAAGTAAGTTCTATTCGAACAAGAGATTGAAATTAGAAACTAAACTAAATTTTATTTTTTATAATTTTGTGTTGCCGTTGTTGCATTTTTAAATAACTGATAAAATTTACTCTTTTAAATTTCAAATTCTCGCAATAACAAACATGCTTATTTTACACATAATTTTATCATATAAGAACAATTTCTCTTGAGAAATATATTATACAAGCAAATAATCTAATTATCTATATACTAGCTTAATTATAAAAAAATATACAAATATAAAATATTTTAATTATACAAATAAAATAATTAAAAAATAGTTAAGCTACTGAAAAAATTTTTCAAATAATGGTTTCAAGATTTTATTTCATTTAATATAATTTATTTAATATTATAATCTCGGTCAATTGAAATTTCAGTATAATAGACGAGAGTGATTCTTGTGTTTATTTGTGAATTACGAGAATCGTCGATTCTTTATCAATGTATGATATCGTAAAATAGATTTTTCTGTAATATCGAAAATTGCATTCGTCGATATTTTATCGATCTCGCGATTCAAGAGTCAGAGTTAAAGATCGACAATAGCGTGTCCTGATTTTTATATTAATAAGAGCACGAGAAAGATTGTCGATTTAGAGGGTGCCGTTGAACCAGGTCTGCATATATAGAAGTGGGACAGAATAGGCCTATAGTTATATAAGTAGAACACTACACGGGGACTATTTTTAGCGCGTCACCTGAGACACCTCGCTTAATTTCGTTGGGTGCGCTCCCTTAATCGAGGATCGATTTAACGCTAGAACGGCCGTTATTTTCTCCGATGAGTTCTTCTTCGTTTAAAGTTATTAAAGCCACTCGCACACATACATACGTCAAGTATCGTGGAGAGAGATAAAGGATTATCACCGTATCATAAATAAAACATTCTGCATAATGATATATACTGCATTATTTAACATTAAAGAATTTTCAAATAATGTTTACTTATATGGTTGCTTGCGTGTTCGATTTGCAATTCGAGCGGGAAGAATGCAAAATGATTGTGTTTGCAAATTCACCGATAAAATAACTTTTCGCATTTTGTTGTTTACTAACTAAAAGCAAAGACAGAATTGGTCGTGAACATGCGCATCTATAATATTTCGTTCCTTAGAATCTTTATATAGGGTGCAATTTTTTAAATGTTTTATCGCGTCAGAATTTATAATGGATTTTCGTTTCGTGCACGTATTTACTATGCAGGTATGAAGATTAATATAACAAAGTGATTTGATTAATTCGACTGAGAATACGCGCGCATACTTGAATTATTCATGCGTGGACGAGCGTGGACTTCGACTTTATTACGAATTCCAGTGCTCGCTAATAATGCAAAATCGCTGATTATAATGCAGAATCGCAGGCAATCGCTGGCAAGATAAGTTTCGTTTATTTAATTAATGAAAATCGTCTAATCGATCATATGTGCACGAGATATGAGCTAATCCGATTCAATCGTATCTGACTATAAATATCGGTTCGTTCAAATGGCATTTAATATCTTATCAATTTGTCGTAATATATGTCAATAAGATAAGTGCTAATTATATGCAACATCTGTAGCATTACGCAATTCTGGATATATTCATATTATTGCGAGAGAACCTCAAGAAAATGTTCTGAAATATTATTTTTTCAAATAAACTATTAAATAAATTATTTTTTCAAATAATATTAATTTCAATTTACAATAAAATGAGCATCACTGAAAATCAACTTAAAAATAAGTTCTGTTATTTATTCATATATTTGTAACATTCCTAAAAAGACAAATTTTTAATTTATATAATTTATATCTAGAAAATAAAACATGTAATATCATATTAATTTAATTTTGAGATTAATGACGGATTGTGTTTACATCTATATGTATATCCACTTAATAGGCTATGTAATGAATCCAAAGTGTAACTGGATGAATAATTTAGAACAACATGTATAATTATTGACGAAGGAGTATTAATATTCTCCGGCGATAAATTACTACGAAGTTGTATGAAAATCGAAGACTGGATTTCTCTTAAAGTGTCATATGCTTCTGCTTTAATGACATTGCATCATACTCGTTCATTACGCCACGATTGTGAAGTGCATACAAATCAATCATTTAGAAATCTTTGATTTTCCGCAACGAAACGCTGAAGCAAGAAGCCGGTGCATTCGCTAGAATAATCTCTTGTAATATATCTTTCGTCTATTGAATATATGATCTCCGGCCATTGAACAAAGATCAGTCTTTTCACTTACTACAGAATATGGTATATATTATTAATCTCAACCAGACAGTCTCAATGTCAGTCACGATAATCGAAACATCGTGACTTTGTGGCGAAATTCCATCGAAATTTTATCCATTCTATCTTAAAAATCGAATATGTTAATCTAAGATACGTTTGCATTTTAACGAAATTAATTAAAGAATTAATTAAAATTAAATAATAAACTTTTATTTCTTATAGTGTCTATTTCTAAATGTCAGAAAATTTTAATAAAATGCCAGTGCTAATAAACGTATTTTTAAAATGGCGTTTTGTGATTATTTTTGCTTGTATAAATTATAGTCAATTATATGTATGTCATTTTGTCAATTAATCTACTGAACAGAGAAATAAAGTGTAATTTTTTGCACACATAAGATTAAGATACTATGCATCCCAAGTACATCGTGTTAAAGAATGATGAATAATTTTGATTGCAGAAGTCTTCGAAGGATCGCCCGGCACGACGAACCGGAGTTCAGCAATGCCAGTATTTTGAACAGCATGGAGAAATTCGTGCGCACCGTGAGCGAGATGGAGGATACCATCTTGGTGCCCAGTCGTCTGCTGGACCTATCGGTGGGCGATGCAGGTGACACGATTTGCATGAAAGGCAAGCGCGGCTACACGGTGCAGGACACTCTGGCCAACACTGATCTATACCGTCTCTACAATATCATCAATCAAATGAAGATCGAGCTACTGTGGTCGCAGGAGCCCACGCGGGGCACCGAGATGGACGATCAGCTGCTAATCAAGAGCCTTCCGGTCGGTAGCCCGTCCGCTGAACTACATCATTATCCAGTGGCTGTGACCGGCGCCAGACTGGGTCACGTACGTTGTCCCAGCACCACCTCGATGCAGAGCGTGCAGAGCGCGTCCTCGATGGCGTCCACCTCGGATTCAGACTCTGAGGTCGGCATTGAGATCGATAGCGGGCTGGAGGGCGAGGAGTGTGCCGATTTGGCGAGCATTGCCGCCCAGAACTTTAAGCGTCATCTGCGCGGCCTTCATCGCAGTATCGCCCGCATGACAGAGGCGGCGGAGTATTTGACGCTACGATATCAGGCCGACGTGGGCGGACAAGTCTGATTTGCCGTTGTCTGTGCGTCGATCGTCATCGCGTCAATTGGTATTATGAGCAGATACCGTCTCATCTTCGCCTCGTCGTCGTCAACTTTGCGGAAACTTACGCGACTTTGCTTGATTTTATAGAAATCGGCGAAGTCTCAAGAAGCCAATTACGCGACTTGCAAAACTTCCCCGAATTTTTTCCGTCATTGAGATATTGGAATATTGATCCGTTATTTTACTATGTAACTCATTGCGGGTAAAGTATGCTGTTCATGTGCTGAGATGGAAATAAGTTATATGTTCCAATAATGTAAATTAAGACAATAAATTTTCACTGGTTATGTAGAATTGAACGCAAATAAGTTATCATTTTCCAAACAAAATTGATACCGCGAGATAAGATATTTATCATTCTTATGGCATCATGAAGAGACAACGTTTAGTTCTGTTCTGCTTTTAATAACGATTTTCACGCGACAGAGAGGCCAATTGAATAAAATTAGAATAACATAAAGATCTCAGGCGAATATAATTATGTATAGCGATGTAAGCAATTCTTTCCTTATTCTGCCGCACATGGAGCATACTGCGATTTTAAACACAGGGTTCGATGTATACTAGAAAGTGTACATTAGAAAACATAACAAAGGTAAATATAAAACAAAAATATCACATGCAAAACACTGAAAAAAGACACGCAATCACTTAGTTTAAATCACTCTTACTCTGCATCACATCTTAAATTGCATTTTCTCGTAGGATTTTCTTTCGATGGAGCATAGATATTGAGAATAATTTTATATTTTATATTTCTCTTTTTCTTATGTTAAAATTAATGTTAATTTAACTAGATTGATTTATTTCTTTTACAAAATAAAAAAAATAGTTTACAAAAAAATATATCAGTTTTCTATCGATATGAAAACAATATCATACAAAATAGCTAGAATATGTTATATTAATTAATAACATATTCTACACATTATGAATATATTTAAAAGATAATTTCTAAGATTGATGGTTTATTGGTTTAATGGACAGTTGGTTTAATGGAATACGTTTATCATAATTTTTCATTGATTTGGAAACTATTGTATACAGACAAGTCCTGCATTAAATAAGCTTTAAGGATATCTCGATACGCGATCGAAGATATATAAAATATTAAAATATCGTTATAAATTTGGACACTTTTAAGAACTACTTGTAAATTGCCGGGAGAGAAACATTTAAACACACCGAGAGGTGGTATATATCATTATTAGGTGTTATTTTATGGAAAAAAGGCGAAATTTATTGTAATATAACTCATGGCCAATGGTCTATAGTCGAATTACCGAATTACCTCTCAATTACTGTAAATACTACTTCGAAAGAGAACGCATTTTGGAAATTGCAGCTAAGTAAGATTGTACAAACTATGAATCTTATAATCTGCGTGTAAGCTGTTACATCAGAGACATCAGATATCCCTTTTTCCTTATTGTTTAGATTTTCCTTTTTTTTCTTTTGTAAGTGAATTGTCGATATTATCGAATTGTATCTGATATCGCGGCGATCGACATTAACTTGTAAATATATACGTAGTGAAATATGATTATTTATTTCTACGATTGTAAAGTTAATAAAAGATATTGTTTAACGTAAGTTGTGCAAATTGTGAAGGTAACTCAATAATTAAATATCCGATAAGAGTTGTAAGAAAAATACTGAGATCGACACACGTTTCAAAGCCGAAAGAATTCGAGATCTTGGAAATTCATAACTTTCGTTTAAAGTATATATAGAGCCGGTATATGGATGCTTTCCTAACGCGTCGATACCCAAATGTAATTTTCATCTGTACAATTTTAGGTTTTGTGTGTGTATGTATCGGATTTATATACATAATATCTGTAGAACTAAAGGTTTTTTAAATGAATATCATAGGAAAAGGCAAAAAAAAAAAATAGAAAAAATATAGCAGACAAATATTATTATATTTGTTTTTCTATAAAAAAAAAAAATTATTTATCGAACTCTATTACACGATGGCACATACACACATAATATATAATTCTTAATAAATTATGTAATTAAGGTACATTTTTCTATGTTTTGATATTACTATATTTTATTTCACATTCATGATTTATGTTGAAAATCTCTATAATTAAACTACAATGGCGCAAAAAGTATCACTTTTATTTTGTTTGTTCTTTTTGTATATATTTTATGTACATACACATAAGAATATGTAGAAAAGGATATAAATTATAGTTGTAATATGTACGGTGCCATATCTAAAACTTACATTTTGTTGCATTCGTAATCCGTGCAACATTATGAAAATCTTAAACGTCCAATAGAAATAATCTTGGCTAGATGGCCAACTTGAACCAGTGTATATTGCGCCATACATGATTTAAAGTTTTTCTAAGTCAATGAATTGCTTTGTCAAATAAAAGAGAACTGTTTCAAGACAAGCTTTCAAAATTGAAATTTTTCATGATTATGCAATTGACTCGCTACGCATAAGCGATTTATTTATTATGATTTTGTATTCATTCCATGTATTGCGATTTGTATACTTTTATGATTCTTCTAAGATACAGTACCTAGATCAAGGATTCTCAAACAATCACACATATCGTTATTGTATATTTGTTATTATTTAATTATATAAAATCGGCTTATATTAAAGAAATTAAAGAATATAAAAAAACGATCCTATTTAGAATCTATCTTCGCACTTAATAGCTTAATAGCAAGAGGATAATATTCGTTGATATTATGAATGTGTATTAACTTGCATAAAATATTAATACTTGAGAATTCCTGAACTTGTGTAAATTATGATTACTGATGTGATTGCAATATCAATACGTGTGTCGTAATAATGTTAATCATTAGAATACAAATGCTATATTGCGGTAATGATCCATTCTTCGCGTGGAATCGTGATTATTATTAAACAATTGGCAACATTAATTAGATATTTCTAAATAAAGAATACTTGATACTTGGTAAAATTACATAAGAATAATGAAGTACATGAATTCGACATAGAATCAAATTGATTTTTACTATTGTACCGCTTTGCAAAATAAAGTGTAGTTATTACTATTATTCAATTACTACTCATTGATCCTAAGAAATGCATGTAGAGAACCGCTTTTTGATTTATTTAATTTGCAGAATTCTATTTTTTTGTAATTCCATTTATATTATACGACATAATATGTACAATATTCCAAAAGGAACTTTTTACGTAAATTTATTTAATATGAATGGACAATTGCAATTCTTATAGGAGGATTAAATCTGCTTATTCTGGAATTATTAAGATCGATTTTTTTCTATTCTGTATGTTCAATTTCTATTCATGAAAATTGAAAAATATATAAAATATAAAATATGTGTACAAATTCACATAGTCACACGTGATAAACATATAGTAAATACATGAGGAGAGACAAAGAAGAAAAATCCAGTTTACAGAAGGAGAACTATTTCAGAATAGAGGGATTTGACTGTTAAAAATATCACATATAATATTTCGCGCTTTCTTCATGCACTATGATGAAACGGTTAGAAAAAATTGATCAAATAAAGTACAATTTTACCAAATAGCGTTTAATTATTTTTATTTATATTAAGATTCATACATCTATCATTTTAATATCTTCTAGTTTTACTCAATGTTCATACTTATATTAGGATTAGGCACAGACAAGTCCTGCATTAAATAAGCTTTAAGGATATCTCGATACGCGATCGAAGATATATAAAATATTAAAATATCGTTATAAATTTGGACACTTTTAAGAACTACTTGTAAATTGCCGGGAGAGAAACATTTAAACACACCGAGAGGTGGTATATATCATTATTAGGTGTTATTTTATGGAAAAAAGGCGAAATTTATTGTAATATAACTCATGGCCAATGGTCTATAGTCGAATTACCGAATTACCTCTCAATTACTGTAAATACTACTTCGAAAGAGAACGCATTTTGGAAATTGCAGCTAAGTAAGATTGTACAAACTATGAATCTTATAATCTGCGTGTAAGCTGTTACATCAGAGACATCAGATATCCCTTTTTCCTTATTGTTTAGATTTTCCTTTTTTTTCTTTTGTAAGTGAATTGTCGATATTATCGAATTGTATCTGATATCGCGGCGATCGACATTAACTTGTAAATATATACGTAGTGAAATATGATTATTTATTTCTACGATTGTAAAGTTAATAAAAGATATTGTTTAACGTAAGTTGTGCAAATTGTGAAGGTAACTCAATAATTAAATATCCGATAAGAGTTGTAAGAAAAATACTGAGATCGACACACGTTTCAAAGCCGAAAGAATTCGAGATCTTGGAAATTCATAACTTTCGTTTAAAGTATATATAGAGCCGGTATATGGATGCTTTCCTAACGCGTCGATACCCAAATGTAATTTTCATCTGTACAATTTTAGGTTTTGTGTGTGTATGTATCGGATTTATATACATAATATCTGTAGAACTAAAGGTTTTTTAAATGAATATCATAGGAAAAGGCAAAAAAAAAAAATAGAAAAAATATAGCAGACAAATATTATTATATTTGTTTTTCTATAAAAAAAAAAAATTATTTATCGAACTCTATTACACGATGGCACATACACACATAATATATAATTCTTAATAAATTATGTAATTAAGGTACATTTTTCTATGTTTTGATATTACTATATTTTATTTCACATTCATGATTTATGTTGAAAATCTCTATAATTAAACTACAATGGCGCAAAAAGTATCACTTTTATTTTGTTTGTTCTTTTTGTATATATTTTATGTACATACACATAAGAATATGTAGAAAAGGATATAAATTATAGTTGTAATATGTACGGTGCCATATCTAAAATTTACATTTTGTTGCATTCGTAATCCGTGCAACATTATGAAAATCTTAAACGTCCAATAGAAATAATCTTGGCTAGATGGCCAACTTGAACCAGTGTATATTGCGCCATACATGATTTAAAGTTTTTCTAAGTCAATGAATTGCTTTGTCAAATAAAAGAGAACTGTTTCAAGACAAGCTTTCAAAATTGAAATTTTTCATGATTATGCAATTGACTCGCTACGCATAAGCGATTTATTTATTATGATTTTGTATTCATTCCATGTATTGCGATTTGTATACTTTTATGATTCTTCTAAGATACAGTACCTAGATCAAGGATTCTCAAACAATCACACATATCGTTATTGTATATTTGTTATTATTTAATTATATAAAATCGGCTTATATTAAAGAAATTAAAGAATATAAAAAAACGATCCTATTTAGAATCTATCTTCGCACTTAATAGCTTAATAGCAAGAGGATAATATTCGTTGATATTATGAATGTGTATTAACTTGCATAAAATATTAATACTTGAGAATTCCTGAACTTGTGTAAATTATGATTACTGATGTGATTGCAATATCAATACGTGTGTCGTAATAATGTTAATCATTAGAATACAAATGCTATATTGCGGTAATGATCCATTCTTCGCGTGGAATCGTGATTATTATTAAACAATTGGCAACATTAATTAGATATTTCTAAATAAAGAATACTTGATACTTGGTAAAGTTACATAAGAATAATGAAGTACATGAATTCGACATATAATCAAATTGATTTTTACTATTGTACCGCTTTGCAAAATAAAGTGTAGTTATTACTATTATTCAATTACTACTCATTGATCCTAAGAAATGCATGTAGAGAACCGCTTTTTGATTTATTTAATTTGCAAAATTCTATTTTTTTGTAATTCCATTTATATTATACGACATAATATGTACAATATTCCAAAAGGAACTTTTTACGTAAATTTATTTAATATGAATGGACAATTGCAATTCTTATAGGAGGATTAAATCTGCTTATTCTGGAATTATTAAGATCGATTTTTTTCTATTCTGTATGTTCAATTTCTATTCATGAAAATTGAAAAATATATAAAATATAAAATATGTGTACAAATTCACATAGTCACACGTGATAAACATATAGTAAATACATGAGGAGAGACAAAGAAGAAAAATCCAGTTTACAGAAGGAGAACTATTTCAGAATAGAGGGATTTGACTGTTAAAAATATCACATATAATATTTCGCGCTTTCTTCATGCACTATGATGAAACGGTTAGAAAAAATTGATCAAATAAAGTACAATTTTACCAAATAGCGTTTAATTATTTTTATTTATATTAAGATTCATACATCTATCATTTTAATATCTTCTAGTTTTACTCAATGTTCATACTTATATTAGGATTAGGCTGTACGAAATATACCTTAACTTTATATTATTACAGATATAATAATGTTGCTAGAAGTGCTCAATTTTAATGAAACATACATTATAATCTGAATAGAGGATACAGACTCTGAGATGTAGTATTAAACACCGGTTGTGTATAACATCTGAATCTTCAAGATACTTGTAAAACATGCGCACTTATATAATCTTATAACTGTAAAAAAATAAATTAATTATTGCCATTGCTTGCTCTCTTGTACCCAAGTAAATATCCGTCAAAGAAATTAAATTTAGTGAAGTCCCGGATTATTAATCTCAAAACGAACAAGTTAATAAAATATTCCTATTGATATAATTCTCGAAATACATACATATATA